GGGAAATCTTAAATAAGTAATCTCATAAATCACGTTCTAGAAGCTTGTTATTCCTGAAGCTTTATCAGTCATATCTTCTGTTTTCTCCTGTGCTTCACTAGGCTTATCAACATTGCAAGCTGTGCTGGATTCTGCTGCTGAAAAGAAATGGCAAGTGACTGCTATCAATGTAGGAAATATTAACAATGACAGAAAAGATGAAACTTACCGTTCACTGTTTCAAGATCTAGAGGTAAAAAAGGAAAGACGAGTGATTTTGGACTGTGAACGCGATAAAGTCAACGACATTGTTGATCAGGTTTGCTATTCTCCATTCTTCAGTGACAACAGTTAGCTATATTCTATAAGTAAACATAATGAGTTAATTTCTCTTGATCCTGTTTTTGTGATTATTATGCATCATTTGCAAGTGACAGGTTTGTATTGAGGACCACATACATATCAGGCAGAAAGCAAACATGCAAATCCTATAATCCCTCCCTTTGCTCACAGGCAAGATAATTCTATGTAGATGATCCTGTGTGGTTTTATATCCTGATTATTTAAAAAAAAAATAATCCATCTTGTTAAGGCTGTTTCACAATCTAAGTAGTATACTATATTATATGTAGATGGTACACTATTATAGATGATGCATTATAAATAGTTATATTATGTCTAGGGATTAGTTCTCCTTAGACCTAGAAAGTATTTTCTACTTCTAATGCTTTTTCCAAGAACATTTTACATCTTGGGAAGGCTGTATCAACAGCTTCTCTTTTCCATTTAACTCCCTTTGTAGTTCATATTTCTGAGCTCTTTGTCATTCATACTGTCCTTGGTTCTCTCTTCATTTTGTCTCTCTCTTAAAGTGTGTTAACCAAAATTGGATGCTCTTTTCCATAGCTAAGGCCTCCTGAGCTTTAAACAGAACAGAAAATTGTGTCTTCTCTCCACCTACACATATATTATTTGCCAAAATGTTGGGTTTTTTTTAAAATCTTCTTTTTCACAACAGCATCACAGTGCTCTGATTCAAATTGTTACATTACCTTCAAATCCACCTCTTCAATCCTAGTATCTAGGAAGGTCTTACTGTCTCTGTATCTTACTTCTTTTCATACATGCAGAGCACAATGGAAAATTATAAGGATAGCTCCCTGCTGACTTAAGCTTGACCATGTGAGGCTGTGCACCATCTGTAGGGATATATGATCAGAGTGTAGATATATTGGTTTCAAGCCTTTTTTTGAAGGTGGTGTTATTTTGGCCTTCGTTATGAAGGTCATTACATTTTGGAGAGGCTCAGACCATGTATCCTAAATGGAGTGTGTTATATTTGTCTGTTTTATTTGGAATTCATATCCACAAACTGTTTCTGTAATTTTCAAGATCAATTTGGATTGGATCCTGTTCTTCAGAGCACTTGCAACCTCCCTATCATCTACAGTTTTTTAGAATTGTATTTTCTGTCTTGTTATCCATGTCAAGAAATTAACTGAGCACAGCAATGCTTGAGAGAAATAGTATTTACAGGTCCTCTTCAGCTGGTTCTGTGTGGCTTTTCAAATGGTTGTTCGCTTACCTTACAGTGATGTTTTGTCTTGTCCACGTTCCCTTAAGAGTTTGTAATGATGTCATACAGGACAAAAGCCTTATTAGACTCAAGATAGTCACGTCTCCTATTTCCTCACTATCTATTAGGCTAGCTATCATACCAGTGAAAGGAAAGAAATTGCTTTGTCTTATTTTGATCTTGACAAGACTATATTGACTGTTTATCATCTTATTATCCTATAGATTCTTTTAAAATTAAGTATGTAATATTTATTATAATCTCTTTCCTGATATGAAAGTTTGACTGTAAATTTCTTCAGTTTATCCTTTTACCACTTTTTAAAGACAAGAACCTTCTTTACCCTTTAGTTACCACTCATTTTTACTGTCTTTTTTATTTAGTAACAGACTTATTTTTGTCTTTGGCTGCTTCTTGTTTTGATTGCAGCTTAGGGATGTTTTTCTTGCCCTAATTGCACTTTGATAGATTCTGCCTTGTTTTGAGCCTTAGATTTTCTCAGCTTATCCCCACAGATTTGTGCTACTCCTTAAGCATACGGATGGATAAACTTTTGTTTCTGCTGTTTAGATTTGTAAGTCACTGAAGAATTCTAGACAACTGGATCAGCCACACGGGTCAGTTAATATAATTCCAATTAGTTGTTCTCCTCAAAATAGTTTACTCCTATGCCCTAGAATATGGTCTCTTCAAGTACTGTCAGCTGCCTCAGACGGGTTTAGCCTTGAAATTCTCTTTCCAAGATACCCTAGCACTTTCTGGAGTTTGGTCTGTTTTTTAAGTCCATTATCTCTGTAACTTCCTCTGCAATTAAATTAATCCAATTAACTCTGTAACTTCCTTTCTTTACACTAAAAGGTAAACCCACTTTCAATTTCTCAAGCAGCCTGAAATAAAATCTAAAATAATTGTTTCTCTATTAATTTTCTCCATCTCTTAAAATGAAGGTCTCTGCTGAACAACAGATTTCTTGGCCTGTGAGTGTCCCTTGAGTGTGTTCTTCTGATTTTCTTTTCTAAAAGCAGAATATGTACTTCAAGTCTTGCTTTGCTACCCGATTTATTCTTTAAAAAATTCTTTTAATTCCTGCCCTGAAAAAACCCTCAGCAATTCCCTTCTTTTCATGAGGGTGCCTGAAATAGACCCTTTGTATCAGTATCCCTTTTCTTTTTTTGTGTATTTTTACTGAGACACTTGCAACAGGCTTTGTGTTGAGCAGATTTTTCTTGAATACTGAAGTATTATATGCATTCTTGATAATATTGAGCAGCAACTTCTTTACTTTCTTCCTTGCTTTCTGTTCTTGAACAAACCTTTTATTGTAGTGCTTTGATTTATCCCCCTAACACTTTAAGGGGTGGTGGCAACTTCAGGTTCACTGAGTCACGCTCTGTAGTCCTTGGATCTTTGTATAAACACACAATGTGTTGGTAAAGTTGCTTCATCATTCTTGTTTTTTGTCCCATGTTACAGTTTCTTTTCCAGATTTCAATGATTTATGTAAGTTGAAGTTGAAAAATATTTCAACTGAGTTCACCAGCTCTCCTCAGACTAGTTTATATTCGTCTTCTCTGATTTGGCAGGTCAGCGTAACCATGCTCTTCATTGTACAGCCTCTATCTCTTCTCAGCCAGCTTCCTTTGCAGAATCTCATTTCCCCCTTGTAATACCCTTTGAGCAGCCGTGCAATTACTGCAACTTCTTGTCTATCCCTGTTTGAGATGCTAGTCTAAACTAGGGACACTGGTGAATACCTTTTGTGCCCACAGCTCCTTCATCATGGAGCCACCGCTGACCCTTCTCAGAGTTTTTAACTGGCAGCATCCTTAGTGTTCATATGGATGAGTGGCACAGGGCAATGTTTTAGAAAGCTAGATGAATGAAATAGCGCCCAGTGGCAGTGAGAGCAGAGTTACTAACCATTGGTCCAAAGACTTGCAGCTACTGGTCGTTTTCTCAGATACCAATGGCAAAGAAGCATTTTATGCAGAAGAGCTAAGCTGTTTGGTCTAACTGAAATTTCTTTGGAAGCAGCAGCTGCATAAGAAATACATCTGAACATAATTCTTAAATCTTTTAATAAGTAATGAGTTTTAAGTAGTCTGAAGCAAGTAACTGTTTTAGAATAATTAAGTTCATATATCATGTATATATTGAGCTCAAAAGAGGAATAATTGAATAACTTCCATGGCCTATGTAATGTGATCCCTCTCAGTCTCAAACTCTGGTAATATAAAACTCAATGTTAAACAGAGCCTTCAGTTACATTTCTGTAACATCATTAAAGGGAGTATATGGACTATCATTCACTACTGGCCTGATATAAGTTACAGGATACCTCTTCTGAATATTTTAGTTATATGTTGAATGAGGAGATAAATAAATTATTCTCTCTTGGTTTAAGTTGTTCTCATTATTCAAAAGATGGAAGAAACCTCTAGAGTCCTCTTGTCTCCCAAATCCCTTCTGTGGAAAAGTGTTTTGCTTCAAAATGCAAACTTCCCCATGCAGATGTAGTCTTAGTTAGGCTTATTTGGGGGAAGAATCCATGCTACATGCCTGCCGGTGGAGACTACTGAGAAACCACCAGCTGGCTTTGAGGGAGATTATGAGGAAGCCTTAGGGCAATAAACAACAATTTGAACTTTAAAAGACTTCTTCATAAAGTAGGTGCTTTCATTAAGATCAACAGGCTTTTAAACTTTTTCTAGTTCAAGGAACGTTACAATTGTGCTACAAAGGAGCAGAATCTAAGTAGGAATCTCTGAGGCACAGTGCTTCTACTGCGTGATGCCCACTCTCTCCTGTCCAGGTTGTGCCTTTAATATACAGGAAAGTAATTAGCGTTCAGCTCCTCTGTTTACAGATACTGAGACTTGGAGTTCAACATGACTCATTTCCACCATCTGAGAGTATGTTCAATGGTGCATTAGGTAAACTAAAAAGTAAAGCACTGACCAAACTCACGATTGCATACTACAAAGCTCATAACTAGCTTTTAGATCATACTGCATTTTGTAGTTTTTAAGTCTCAGTCCATATATCAGGTGAACATGCTCCATTACGGAGGTATTTCTTCTTTTTTACAGGTTATCACAATTGGTAAACATGTTAAAGGATATCATTATATCATTGCAAATCTGGTAAGCATTTTTAATATTTAAAATACCTGTATTACTCATTTTACTGTTTAGGGAAGCACATCAACTGGTATTTTGTTTCAAATGCATTTTAGAAAATAGAAAAAAGCTAAATGTCTTTATCTGTACTAAATGAATGTATGTGTTGAGATGGTATTTGTTTTATTGGCTGAGTCTTTTCAGGGTTTGAATGCCTCCTGTGATACATCCATCAATGGGAGTGAAGGTTGCTCAGCACCTTCAGTAGAGCTTAATCCCTTTTTTCTACATTAGGCAAGTAGGGTAGGGAAATCAGAAAAATAACTTTCTGCATTATAAGCTGATACATTCATTCAGCAAACTGATGTTTCTTCTCTCACCTCTAAAGTACTTAAACATTACAGTTTTCAGCTGTCATTCTGCTAGACTAGTGAGTCTCAGCTTTACACATCTTCATTCCTCAGATTGGCTTGGTAAGCAGTTTGAATGAATCTTCTCTTGAACACAGGTGATCGGACAGTATAGCTAATAGTGTTCCTAAAGGGGGAAAGTTGAGGAAACTCACTAAATCTTGTCAAGGTAATCTTTTTGAAATTGTGTCTAAAGGTGAAGGGCCATTTTACTGACATTAAAGTCAACGACACTTATTTACTGAAGCTGGGGAATCTAATCCAATGGGGTTTTGTAACAGACAAAGCAATTCTGCAGACTTGAATCTCAGTTATTCTGTTCCAGAAAAGAGTTTTGAGGGTTGCATGGTGTGAGTGCCTCTAAATCAATTTTTTTCGTCATTTATTCTTGGACCGTGACAACATTTGATATAAATTCCAGCAGGGCCCAGAGTGCTCTAATTTGCACTCTGTCTTCCATAGTCCTTTGAGGGACCTGAGGTAACAGAACGACCATAGTGTGTCTATCGCACTTCAGACATAACCCCTGCCTCCTCCAAACCTTTGATCAAAACACTTTCCCCCTCCAGGGGGGCAGTATTCTGAAGAATCACATATATTGCTAGACAGGTGCGAAGAAGCCTTATACTCTAAAGGCCTCTTTAAAAGCAGAACAGTGGAGTTTCATTTTTATATTTATTAACTAATTTTGGGGATAAAGAAGTTAAGGTACTGATATTTACAAAGCAAGCATAAAAGTCTTACAAAATTTGAAAAATTCCCTAACTAATAGACATTTGTATTTTGCATTGCAAATATTGTATAAATAGTATTTTGAGTCTTTAGGGAAATAAACATTTGGGAAAAATTGCCTATTGTAATTAATTATGTTAACAGATTGCTCTTTTAGCCATTGCTTTAAGTTTGTAACAGTAAACCCATAAGATCTAAAACTTTCTGACTTTTTTATGTTAAAACTGTTTAATATTATATTTTTGCAAGGACATGTAGTGATAGGACAAGGGGCAATGGCTTTAAACTGAAAGAGGGAAGATTTAGATTAGATGTCAGAAAGAAATTCTTCTCGATGAGGGTGGCGAGGCACTGGAACAGGTTGCCTGGAGAAGCTGTGAATGCCCCATCCCTGGAAGTGTTAAAGACCAGGTTGGATGGGGCTTTGAGCAGCCTGGTCTGGTGGAAGGTGTTCCTGCCCAAGGCAGGGGGGTTGGAACGAGATGATCTTTAAGGTCCCTTCCGACCCAAACCATTCTATTGTTCTATGATACTTACTTCTGCAGATTTATACAGTTTAAATGAAAATATTGTAGATCTTTTGTATAATATCATATAAAGTATATGTGGTAATGATTTTAAAACAATGTTTTTCTGTCAGAAAGAAAACTTACATAGTACTTGATCATATCCCATATTCTTCACTGAATTCTCCTTCTTTCTTCTTTTCTTGACTGTAATAATGTTCTTCTTCAGTCTGATCAGTCAGTCAAGAAATTGATCTATTTTAAGAATAAAATATGCTGATAGGTGGAGAAGAGGTGAAAGTATATAATGAATGTTCCTGTTCAAACGTCAAGCTCACAATAATATTGAAGAAAGTTTCGTGATCCCTGTAGAAATACCTGTATTAGCATGCAGCAACACATCATTGATGAGTATCATTAACATGCAATAATTAAAGAGCACCTAGTTTAGCAATTGTAGCAACTTCTGATAATGTGGTCTGAAGTTGCTACTTCTTTTTATGTTCAGTCAGAGCACTCATTTAAACGGAAGTGTCTGAAATCAGAATTTCATTTAAATTCATTTGTGTGGTTATTTGAGGCAGGTTAAAACACAGAACATGGAAAATAAAACATATGTATTGTTTGTAAGAATGAGAAGTAGTTCTTTATACCAGAGGGAGGAGGCAGGGGAGATGGTAAATCCTTCCACGTGCTTTAGTGTTCCTAGCAAAAAGGGGACACAACTGTTGGCTGTAACTATTCCTAGCTGAAACTGGCTTGCCTAACTGTTATTCATGTCAGTGCTCCCTTTCTCATTTAAGCAGTCCCATTGAAATTAACAGGATTGTTTAGAAAAGTAAGCATGGCAAGGACAGATCCACTCAGCCCTTGCTCTGTAAAGATGTATGTCTAGTGAGCAACAAGAGACGTTCCTGGGTGATGGAGCTGACAACTTAATCCTGGCAGCCCAGGATTTAAACTTGGATCCTGCTTGAGGAAAATGTTGGCGTACACTTCTGCAGCAGAAGTCATATGGTAACTCTTTATTTCTATATACTATTGAGAGATCTGCCAAAACTGTTGGAATGACAGACATAATATTTTCTGTGCCCAGGGATTTACTGATGGAGATTTGTCAAAAATTCAGTTTGGAGGAGCTAACGTCTCAGGATTTCAGATAGTTGACTATGATGATCCTCTGGTGTCAAAATTTATACAACGTTGGTCAACACTGGAGGAAAAAGAGTATCCTGGTGCACACACTAGTACAATTAAGGTATGTCTTACATTTGTTTTAACCGTGACAGATGTACAGGATGTGAGGGAATTGGAATAGAAAGACAAGAGACAGAGAAAGCCCTTCGAAATCAGCTGTGCCAACACAATTTTATATTTCTCTGGGGTACTTTTAACATTCTCTGTCATAGGACTGGTTGAGCAAAGATGCTGCACTGTCAAAAATGTTCAAGACAACTTTAATTTTTCTTGTGTAAATCTCACCTGACAGCTTGTTAGGTAATTGTTTTGGCTGTGATGATATATTAAGTATGTACTGACTTTTTTTGGTTTTTATCTGTGTTTTGAAATGTTTTAAAGACAAATATGTAGTCATGCGTAGGCTTCCAGGGAGCACAGATCTAGCACTTTCTGATATAACATAATCTCCCAAAGAAACGGTAAGACAGTTGCTTTGAGACAGATGCCTAAATCCTACAAAGACTTTTAAAATTAAATGTTATGCCTGAGGCACAGAATCATGGCCCGATTTGAGACCTGAGTGGCACAAGATGTGACACTGGGCAAGTGGTTAAACTTCCTTACCTCAGTTTTTCCTCTGGATAAAATAGTATCTTCTTACCTCCTGTGACATTCTGAGGATCAATTAGTGCTTGCAAGATGTTAAAAAGAATAACACAATTTTAATGCTAAATAATTTTTCTTATAAGTAATACAATCAGAAATTTTACTAACAATGAGTATACTTGAGTAACTCTAAAATGTATTAAGACAAAAAGATAAATGACAAATGTTCTAGGCATAATTTTTTTGTGTCCTATAGCTTGAATATGAAGCATATTCTTGATTTATAATGAGATGGATAAGAAATTTCAGCAAGGGGTGGAAGAAACATTTTTTTAAATTCCCAGAACAAAAATCCTTTAAAGCATACAGCCTTAATTTAATCTAAAAAATAAAGTTTGTAGGTTCCTTTTTTTTCTGAGGCCAAATTTGGGAGTGAGTTAGTCAAAGGTATGATTTTTCTGTGGTTATTTTTGTATTTTAAAATCTTTATGACAGAGTAAATGAATTCCTCATTTGATGTTTGACAAAATAAACTAGATCCTGTGTCATGCCTTCAGATACGTTCATATTACATACGAGTAATATGTGTAATATGTATTGCTCTCATTTAGGAAAAAGGGAAGGGATGTGACTGTGGGTGATTAATAAAATTCTTTTGTCTCTCTGATTCTTGAGTGTCCAAGTCTACCTACTTACCTACTAATGTTGCAGAATCGTAGTCTGGAAATAATCACAGTGAAATGCATGACTAAAGTAAAAAAGTCTAACTGAAACCAAGATGCAGTTTTTCCCATTCGTGGAAAAATAAATCGGTGGGACACAGTGCTAAAGATTCTAATACCTCTGGTGTTACTTACAGTAGGGGAGGAATTGCATGTGTGTTAGATAAGATTAAGTATTTGCAATGTTTTATTATGACATAAAATCTGTAACTTTATCACAGATATTCCCTTTATTTCTTCCATAATAGATCCTTTCAAATCTACTAGAAATTGAAAGGGTTGAAGGACGGTATTTGGAATATCTTATGTTTTTGAGGTTTATTTTGTTAAGGATAGGGAAAATAAGTTAATTGAAACATTTATTTTCATGAATTCCATTAACTTAAAACACATTTTTAAATTCAGTTAAAAAGGCTGATCTGTCTTCCATTCTATATTGCATGCTTAAGGAATATACAGGATCGCACTGATATTCAGTCAAGAGATTGAGACTTAAGTTAAATTATCACATAATTTATAAATGCTAGAAGTATTGATGAGGGGAAGATCATGGGTGTATATTGCAATGTTTGGAGAGATCGATTGTATCAGTTACTGTATTTCTTTGTGTAGGTTTCTATCTTTTGCCCTTATACATGTATTACTTGTCATTTTTGCCTGCCATTACATGTAAGGACAGAGATACATCACATTTGATTCCCATCCTTGAGGGAGCTGGAGGCAAAGCAGAATCGTAGAAATCATAGAAACAGGGCAAGAAAGATCTTTGAGCAGTCAGGCACCTGGCCTGTCCTCCCTGCATGAAGGCGGAATCAGATATACCTGTGTGGTTCCTGTGGATATTGATTTCACAACTTCCCCAAGCATTCTATTTCAGAGCTTAAATAGTCTTATTTTTTGGTTTTTATCTAACCCAAATCAGCCTGTATATTGCCTAATTCATTACTCCTTTATCTGTTTCTAATGGATATGAGGAAGTTCTCCTTTTCAGCTGTCCTGTATTTGAAGATGGCTGCCATATTTGTTCTGGCTTTCATACATGTTAAACTAGATAATACCTTTTCCTTTGAATTTTCTACTCTCTGATCCTGTACATCATTTTGCTTTGAAACCTTTCTAATTGGTACCCATCTTCGTTGAAATGCTAGACTGGGTACTGCACCGCATCTGAGTGCTGTGCTGTAGAAATTGAGATAATGGCTTCATATATCTCAAAGATGGTACTCCTTTCAGGGCTTCCTTTTGTGTTACTCTTCCCCCCCCCACCCCAACACTGTTGAAATGTATTTATCATGAGATACACACTGGCATCCAGATCTTTTTCTGCATGGCTTTTGTGTACTACTGCTGATTTAGACAGTCTTATACCATATCTGTGCACTTGATCATTCCTTAAAATACAGGACTTTTCATCTATTCTTGTTGAATTGCATTCCCTACCTGTCCTTCCTGAACATGCCATTCCTTCTTATATTAATACTCTAGCCGTGTTTGTTGTCCTTTACTTCTTGGAGTAGTGTATGAACATCGAAGTTACTGAGCAGGTTAACTCACTGGTCTCCCATTTGTCCCTTCCGTGATGTTACGAATAACCTTTTTCCCCATTTGGTTTTGAGGCAGTTGTCCAAATTGTCAGTGGTTATAAATGAACTTTTGCCACTAGTTCCCATGGAATCTAGGAAGCTGCTACTGCAAATTCTATATGAAACAGATAGGAAGGCTAATAAAAGTCCTGTACTATCAGTACAGGAATGAGAGGGGGTTACATGCCCCTAGCAGGGAATGTTATCCCTGGGATTGCAAATGTTGTGTCATTGCAGTCAGTATCATTGCAACCGTGTGGTATTATCTTCCTTTTGTAATCCAAAAGGAAGTATACATTCATTTTACATTATAAAGTGCAAGTCAATGGAATATGACTGAGCTGACATGACAAGACGTATCACAGCATCCAGGTAGAGTCCTGAAAACAGAGAAAGACACCTCTTTCTTAGAAAAAGTGCATTTCAAAGGAACTTGCTCTTGAAGAAAGAAAAACATTGTTGAAAACCTGTTCCACAGATGCCCAGAAGAAGACCTGGATCGAATTGCTTTAAAAATATATCTTCACAATTTATAGAATATTAATTACAAGAAGTTGCAGTCTTAGGACATAGATGAGAAGAAATACTGATTTTATTTGTTGCTGCACTGTACCTGTACTGATAAAACCCACAAGATTTAAAGATAAAGCAGGACAGTTAAAACCAGTGCTTTGCTGTCTTTTTACGAAAGGTCTTCTCATCTTTCAAAAGTAAATCTGATATATTGTTTACCTCAGATAAAATTTAAAATTTGTCTGTTGTAACTGAGGGTGTTATCAGTCTCTGCATGCAGTTCTAGAAGAGCTAATAATGTGTAGATCTTGAAACATACCACTGAACATTGTGGCGAATGTCTTTGAGTACCAAAACAAAAGCCACATTTAGTTTTATGAAGGACTAATAATAACAAGTTGAAATCCCCTTTTCATCCATTATTGTGTATTTACAAATATGCTGGGCTTTCTGAGCCTTAGTGTTGTGTCAGGCTATTATGTCTAAGGCAAAACTTTTGCTTTTGTGGAAGGACAATGAAGGACGGTACGTCCATTTACATCCAACTGCTCCAACTGCCTAATCTGATTAACCCATTCTGTTTGGGGGAAGCCTTTGTTCTAGTTCCAGAAAAAAAGCTCAATTTGTACCTCTTGAAGGCTAGTGAGACATTATAAATTTTATTGGGTTTGTGTGGCAAGATTTTTGGTAGTGGAGGGCTACAGGGGTGGCTTCTGTGAGAAGCTTCCCCCATGTCTGACAGAGCCAATGCCAGCCAGCTCCAAGACAGACCCACTGCTGGCCAAGGCCGAGCCCTGCAGCGATGGTGGTAGTGCCTCTGGGATATCAGATTTAAGAAAGGAGGGAAAAAAAAACAAACCCAGCAACTTCAACAGGAAAGAAGAATGAGAAGATGTGGCAGGAGCAGCCCCGCA